AATAAGTTTTACATGCATGTTCGATTATTATTGTATTATACAAACTCTTGATACGTAATTTAAATATTTACCTGACTTGTAGCAAATACAATATTTTGATTAGTTAAAATAATACTATTTTACTTTTTTAGTAAATTTGCTTTTTACTTACATATTTTAGTAAATTTTATACCTTGTTTATTTGAAATAAGTGAAATAATAATTTTTATTAAAAGAAGCTATTTCTAAAAATTAATTATGTTTTATTAGTGTTAGATAAAGCAAATTTTTTGGTTTTTATATCTCTACCGGGTTAATTTTTTTCAATTTAAAATTTTGATTTTTTTGTTATTTAATATATCTTAAATACTGTATATTTAAAACTTTAAAAAATTATATCTATATATATTAATCGAATAGATATTTAAATTTTTATTTATAATTTTTTTTTAAAAAAAGTAGGTGGTCTGATCTGTTTAGAGTTTTAACAATATGAAAATCAACTTTGCATATCTTATATATATCATTTTAGATAGAATTTTTAAAAAAATCTACTTTCTTAATACTAATAAATTCTTTTTTTTTATATTTAAAATGTTAATTATATTAATAGCGGATAGCTATATTTTATTATGCGACATGAATGTCTGTATTGTCTAAAATACTTTGCATATCTTTCTTCTCTACAAAATCATATAAAAAAGCACAAAATCAAAAAAAAAATATATATATATGAAGTGATGGGTCGCTATTATATTTTTGTCTAACTAAATTAGTATGATCTATAGTTATACAATTGAATCAATTGAATCAATAATTTATATAGATAGTCTAAACATTATCATTATACAGTATAAATAGGATAATTTAAACGTTATCATTATATACAAATTTTTTTAGTATATAGTATAGATAGATTAGTATTTTTATAATTGTTAGTTATTATAGTCAAATCTTTATAAATACAATGTGTACAAACTAGTCTAAACTGTATATTTAGGGAGATTTGTATTTAGAGAGAGCCAATCAAATTATAGCTATTAATTGATCTGCAAACTTGTATAATAATTAGAAATTTTGACCTTAATTTATTTTTAGACCTGCAGTGTAACTAGTACTTTGTGCATACTAACCACATCAGTTTCATTGTTAGTTTCATCTTCATCTATTATATTTACAATAACTGTATTTTTCTGTCATTCTTCTTGTTCCTTATTACCCATTACTTGAAATTCTTGTTCTTCACTATCCATTATTTGTAACTCTTGTTCCTCATTATTTATTACTTGAAATTCTTGTTTCTCATCACCAATTATTTGAAATTCTTGTTCTTCACTACTTATCATTTGTAATTTTTGTTCTTTGTTACTTATTGCTTGAAATTCATGTTTCTTACTACCCATCATTTGAAATTCTAGTTGGTCTTCA